ACCTATTTTCTGAGATGAGCCTTATATGGACATTGGGCCAAATGTGGTCCGATTTTTAAAAAACTTTACAGAATTATTTGTAGATCCTTAAAACATACTCCTGAATAATTTTATTAGGAGCCACTTACGAATATTAAGCAGGGCTATGTGACTAAATGCAACTAATCACCATCTTTCTTGGACCATAATAATGCTATAACCAATTTTTTTCCCAGATGGCTTTAATTTAACACTAATCAACTCTGGAAGTGGTTTTAAGTCCATCGAAGTCCTTTAAGCTTAGTTAAGTGCTATTATTCTTGGTTTTTACTTACTGACATAATATAAATTGTTATCGTTTAGGGTATAAAATTCAATATAATTCCACATTTTTCCAGTTGAAGATTAATAATAATCTTTCTATATTCATGTAAAAGTGAAAAATAATGAATACATAGATTTATTTGATAGACTTACTGCATTTCACCTTGCTTTAAAATCGGTAAAACTATTTTTTTAAAAAGTAAAAAAATCAAATATTCCTAAACCCGTTTTCTGATAACAGTAAAAGAATCGAACTTTCTAGGATTGCCTTTATTAATTACTAGCATACCCTGTGTGCTTCGCTACCCTAACTTAAATTAAATACATACAAAATTCTGTTTACTTTTATAGAAAATTAAAATTGATTAAACATTTTTTAATGTTTAAATTCGCATTCAGTAACCCCGTGTCTATATTAGACAAATATTTATCACGGCACTTGACAAAACGTCGGCAGAAAAATTGTAAGTTTTTTGTTTATGTTAATACATAGGGGTAACAAAACGCCGATTTTATCACGACAACTCACAGATAATTTTATTGAAATAATGCTATATTTTATAAAAACAATTAAAATTAAATGCAAATTTTGTAAATAAACACTAATTTTACTAAAACTAATGTTAAAAATCAATTTTAATTGCACAAAAACAAAATTCTAAACAAATTTTACAATAAAATGAAGTTTGTTATCAAGACAATGTTGTCTAAACAATTGTTTAGACAACACTGTCATAACGGCGTTATAACGCTAACAAATGCCGTCTGTACCTGCTAATTTTTTATTATGATAACAATTTGACATTTAGCATAAATAAATATAGACACGGGGTAAGAAGCTTGTATTTTTAGTTTCGTTCATTTAGCTTCCATTATAGAAAATTTTGAAAGTACTATTTAAAAAAAGTACTATACAATACCTCTAATAGATTATCATTTAATCAAAAATGTTATGTTTCTATGTACAATATTATATATAATTCAAAAAAATATAATTTAATGAATGAAAAAGTACCAAAAGTCCTTTTCAGTAGGTTCTCATTCACTAAGGTCCCTATATTTTTAATTTTATTTTCAATATGTATGTTCAATATCGTAAAAATATCAAAAAGTACCATCGGAAAAACGAAAAAATACAAAAATCTCTCCCAATAAATTCTCATTTAATAAGGACCGTGTGTTCCGGTTAACCATTATAAAGAATCTAAAAGGTACCATTTGAAGAGTAGAAAAGTACGAAATATATATATATATATTATATTTTAATATTAATATTAATATTAATATTAATATATATTAATATTAATGTTCCTAGGTGGAATATTTTAGAAAATTGTGAGAAAAAAGTACTAAAAAGTTCTCTCTTAAAGAATCTTATTCAATTTTGAATTCATATTAAAGAACATACAAAGAGTATCATTTGAAGAAGAAAAAGTATCAAAAGTGGAACAAATTTTACCTAAGTGGAAAGTACTAATATAAAGAGTACAATCTTTCCCCTTTTCGCTTAGAAATATACTTTTTCGAGAATTAAGTTTACAAAATGTTCCTATATCTATATATCACAGATAAAACTCAAACGATTCAAATCTGCCTTCATTTCTTCAAGAAAAATAGTGCTTTCAAAAAGTACCAAACTATACTCGAATTGGGTCCTATATAGGCCTTAGTACTCGAATTCCAAAATAATATACCAACGGCTTATTTTGTGTGAGTAAATAAACTACTTTTTCAAATGTTATAAAAATTGGCTCAATGAGTTAGAATAGAATTAAATTTCCCGTTTTCCCCTTTTTGGTACTTTTTTCCCCAGTGAAATAGCAAAAATTTTATTACAATAAATATTACAGAGTTAGTCCGTAATTTAATAAGAATAAAAAGTACCATAAATACAGTTTTGTTCCTTTTACACCCAAAAAGGACTGAATTTTAAAAAAATACGAAATAGGTGTCTCGTAATTTTGGGAGATGTATCTAAAATATTTATAAAAATTTTATTATGTTAATTAGTTCAAAAGTTATAAAGGGCAAAAAAAGATACCAAAATCACCTTTGTTACACATTTTTACCCCTTAAAAGTAAGAATTTCAAAAAAGTACCAGACACCCATCTGCTCATTTTAAGAGTAGATACAGGTGCATTTAAAATTTTTCTTGTATCACTAATATTGTGTAAGATAATTAAGAAAACCTCTTTTACCAGTTTTTACCCGTAAATGTACAAATTTCCAAAACTCCCTCCTTAGTGGATCTACATAACCAAAAGCACATCTACTGTAAAAATTTCATGATTCTAGGTTCAGCCGTTTGGGCTGTGCGATGATGAATCAGTCAGTCAGTAACGCTGCTCTTTTATATATATTGATTATAATTTTTTAATGAAAATTGCTTTCCATTGGTATTTGATTTCATCCAAGATGGAACTTTTTAAAATATGACTATTATTATGCATAATTCAAATTACGTCTTTTTCTAAAAATATAAAGAATACGAATAAAACAGGAAAATAAATTTTTTTATAATAATCACTATTTTTAGTACTCACAAAACGATGGTACCAAAATATTTTTAAAATTATCATTTTTACGAGAGACATATCAAAACCAATATACATATGTATTTCGTTTTTAACAGCCTATTATTTTGACAGCACTGCATATAAAATATTTTAACTCCAAAAGCAAAGTTTTTGAGTTAAAATATAATTTTTTCACATATGCCCCTTGCATCCCACTAAGTGACCACAAAGCTCTTAAAGGAAATGATCTAATACCGCATTTACACTACAGCGAAATCTAGTAGATTAAATTTCAAATCTTGCTCAAAATCTAGATCGTTTACACCTCACTTTTTTTTGGCTAGATCTGTTTTTAAAAATAAACCTTGTTTAAAAGAAAATATTGTGAAAAATATAAAATATTTATTAGTACTTTACTTACTGCACAGAATTCGGCATTTAAATATCACGTTATATTTTACCTTCAAAACACTTTTCATTCATGTTTTAGGTTTTGTAGGAAATTTTCTTGAAAAATTGGTTATTTCCTTTTTTCAATTCCCTACAAGAAATGTATGACCGAAACTAACACATACAAAATAATTAAATAATGTTGATGCACCCAATGTGTGGTAAAGGGTTTCATTTGCATATGAAAGAGTGACACAACTACATTTGACTGTTACTGTGTTTCAGAGTTATATTTTTCGACGTTATAAATTAATTATTTCTGTAAAGGCCAAAGATCAAGAAGCGAAAAATTAAAAAAATTTACAAAGACTGTAAATTAATAAAAATAAAGAGAATTACTATAAACAGAATTTAAAAATAGTGCAGGAAGTGGAGCTGAAGATAAACACTTCGGAGTTTAATCAATCTATGGTAACAAATTTAAGATCCAGCGAGTTATGTAAAATAGTGAAATGATTGTTAATTTATGTATATGCTTATTATATTAATAAAATTAAAAAATATATATCTTAAAATATTAATAAATTGTGTTTTATTATAAATTGGTATAGCCGTCACATTTGACGGATATATTCATCAAATATGATTAGTCAACAATGACCGATAAATACATCATTTTTAATTTGTTAACTGTGATAGATATATCCATCAAGCATGATCAGTCAATCCTGACTAATATTTATGTCATCCTTGGTTAGTAAACAACAAAAGAGTGAGGAGCTCAAATATATGTTTTAAGTTGACAGAATTCATAAGTGAAAGGGAGAAGAAAAATCACATGTACACAAATGTTTCCATCACTTTTGTCCTTTTGCCTTACCCCCTGTCTATATTAGACAAATATTTATTATGCTAAACGTCAAATTGTTATCATGATAAAAATTAGCAGGTACAGACGGCATTTATTAGCGTTATAACGTTGTTATGACAGTGTTGTCTAAACAATTGTTTAGACAACGTTGTCTTGATAACAAACGTCATTTTATTGTAAAATTTGTTTAGAATTTTGTTTTTGTGCCATTAAAATTGATTTTTAACATAAGTTTTAGTGAAATTAGTGTTTATTTACAAAATGTTCATTAAATTTTAATTGTTTTTATAAAATTTTGCATTATTTCAATAAAATTATCTGTGAGTTGTCGTGATAAAATCAGCATTTTGTTACCCCAATGCATTAACATATTTGGCTAATATAGACACGGGGTTAAGAAACTGGTAGAAACTTTTCTCTACGCTGTGATAGAAATAATACATCAGTAGTGCCAGTCAAATGACCGATCAAATTACTGTTACTGATTTGTAGGGTTGTCATTATTTCTTCTGCAGCGTCGTACTTTATAGTACTATTTGGCAAAACACTAAGTTGCATTTCTATTTTTACTAGATTTTAAGTAGATTGTATAAGCTTTCTTTTAAGCAAAAAAGGAACCATTTAAAAAAAATCTAAAGTTTTTGAAAGAATGTAGAAATGGTTATCTGAATTCCTTTGGATAATATTTTTTGGATTTTCTCCTTTTTTCATTATATCATGTATAAAATTGATTAACCGTTCGTTATATTAGGTAGTTAATTTTAAAATATTGGCTGTGCGTTATATGGGATTTTCGTATTGAGATTCGTTAAACCGGCATTTGGTTGTATGTTAAAAATTAAAAAAATAACACATGTAGACACGTTCTTATTTAGTTTCTTAGAAATCGCTATATTTTAAACGCCTTTTTTCAGCAAATCACTAAAATAAAAATATAGCTGAATTGCCATCACTGATAATCCGTAAATACAATAAATGTCTTTGTTAGAATTTTACAGCGTAAAAAGAAAAAATAATTGTAATAATTATTAAAATTAATAAGAAGTTTCCAATTTCAGACATGCAAATTAAGGTAAGAAACCTTGAAAAATTGCGATTACACAAAATTTTTAAAAATCATGTTATAAAAATCAAAAACATCAAAATGAATACATATTCCTACATACATATGTATACACTTCATATTTGTATACAATGTACTTCATTTAAAAAAAAGTTTGGAGGAGTCTTATTACGCTCATTAGTGTATATCGGATAATCAAAATAATTCTTTTTAAACAATAATATTTAAGATTTTGTGGTAATTCTCTAGAAATTTTTCTGTACAACAATATATAAACGATTAATACCTATCAAGGGACTTAAATAAATGGACACCTCTAATGTACATACAAATGTATGTATGTATGTGCTTTTGTTTTTAATTTTTAACTAAAAATACAAATCAATTATAGTATTAAATATTCTCCCTCCAGGAAATTTTATTACAGCTGGAAAAATGTGTAAACAAATAAAAATTTGTAGTATTATTTGTGCACAATATAGTAAATTAGCATTAAATATTTTACAACTAAAAGTGAATAATTATAGTTAATAAAACAAAGCTATACGATATTTTTCAACTAATAAATACAATGAAGTTAAAAAGGCTTATACATATGTATGTATGAATGAATGCACGTACATATGTACTTGATGTAGGAGCAGTCGTTAACAGCTAATCGATGATTTTTACTACAATAATTACGAACTGCACAAATATCTGCAAAAGCGTACAACAAATGTTTGCAAATTTTGTTACTTTTTGTAGCGTTAACAAATGGGCGAACATTTTTATGTGGTGAAAATAGTGAAAAATTTATCTTTAAAAATTGTAAGAACTCATAGATGGATTTGCAAATTTAAAATGTTGATATTTGATTTTTTATAAAATCAAAAGTCTGTAATATGAAGTATACATATTTTGCAAAATTAATAAGTGAATTTATAAAAAATTAAAAATACGTCCAAACGGTTATGTACTTCATTAAAATAGGTAACTATTAAAAAAAAAATATTTATAGGGAAGAACATAATCCCGATAAGAAATATTGTGGGATGTTCAAATTAAATGATCAAAAATGATCATATGTTACAAATTTAATCCAAATTGCTGCAATTCAAACCGCTAATTTTCGTTAAATGATTAGAGGTATAGTGCGATAAAATAAAGTAACTCCAATTTTGTTGGAACTAAAAAAATATTAATATTATTAAGCTAAAAATTACTAAATCTATATCTAGGTGACTATGAGAACACATTTTAAATGTTTACAGCTCAACTAAAGTAATATTCTTTAAAACAAGGATGTAATAACAATGTTAGAGTATGTTAAAACCCATTTAGATTAGACAGTTGAACATCGCTATTTGAGCAGACAGGTCCAAAATTATTTTATTTTGTAGAAATGGTTCTTGATCTTATGTGAGAAGTCTTCCAAACTCGAAAATATATATATATATATATATATATATATATATATATATATATATATATATATATATATATATATATATATATATATATATATATAGCATCCATTACCCATATAGTATCTATCATGTTAGCACCGGAATATATGAAAATCCGTGTTCAAAATTTATTGCCGAACGTATCCGATGATATTCCACCGATTACGGTCATGAAATAATACAAAGGCCCATATAACATCCGAAGAAGTCAAAAACTGGATTCTGGGCAATAAAGCTGCTGTAATTGAGAGGCCTGCCCAGAGTTCCGATTTAATGTCAATCGAGAATTTGTATGCCGATGTAAAAAGAAAGTATCTGAAATAAAACCAAACAACAATTATAATTTTTGGAGCACTGTGGAACAGGCATGGTTGCCCGTTCCTCCAGGATGTTATTAGAATTTAACGCAACGCAACCACAAGCTAATAATAATCCTTAAAGTTAATTTGACACAAAACTACTCAAATTATGAACTCTTTAAAACATTTTCTATTTTTATTTAACATTTGAACACAAGTGGTGCTTTTATTTTGGCATGCAATTTCTTTAACTTTTTTTAAAAAAAACCTAATTATTTTCAATTAATATGATTTTTTATTTTTTTTATTTATTTAACAATATTCAATAACCTAGCCTATAGGCCATAAGCGGTTACAAATTTCTACTTCACAATAATTCCTCCAATACAAAATACATAATTATATAAATAAAATTACACCTAATTTTTTTAAAAAGATAATATACTATATAAAATAACGATAGGACAATCGAACAAATGTAATTCAAAGAAGCAAAACAGGTTAAAATAAAGAAAAGTATATGTAGAAATCATAAACAATCCCAAAAATGAACTCACAGAACCAATCAATATGTCATACAGCAACTATATGGCAAATAACACTCCAGAC